GCTTACTGGCACATTTGAGCAGTAATGTTCTCTAGGCTGCTGAACAGAATAGTTCAACATGAATCTCAAAGTTATTCAAACTGATACCAGCTCTGGAATACGAAGGTTGTTAAGCATGACTAAATGGTTGAAACCCTGTTCTTTGTTTCTTATGTTTAGAAAAGAATAAAACTGCATGTCTGTGCCTAATAATGTATCGCTGATTCTTGATTTATTGTTTCAGTGTTGCCAAGCATCTGGAGTCCGCAAACACCATGTTTTCTTTCATTTGGTGGATAATTGGGTTCTATTGGGTATCTGCTGGTGGCCAAACTATGACCCGTGATGCACCTCAACTTTACTGGTTATCTCAAAACTAGGCTCTAGCTCTGTCTCATTTTCTTTTATTTGTATTTTATGTTTACGTGGTTTCTTTTTCAGGCTTTGTATCACATTTCTGGCGTTTGATGTGTTCTTTGTTGTTATATGTGTTGCTGTGGCTTGTGTCATCGGAATTGCTGTTTGCTGCTGTCTCCCATGTATCATCGCAATCTTATATGCAGTGGCAGATCAGGTATATAATCCTTCTGTCGCATCTATTAACTGTCACGATTCACATAAATCGACTTCCTTTTGACATGTAATTCTCAAATATCAGTTCCAAAGCTATCTCAGTAGTGAAGGACCTAGATTATGGAAGGATTTACTTGTTTTTGAATTAATAGTATATCATACATGTTTAGTCTTATACCTTTTGTTCTTTGTTGCAATTGCCATGCATTATCAGCACATGACAATGTTCAGAGATAAAGAATTCCCCTTTGAATTTGTAGTTTGCCCCCCATAAAAAAAATTCTTTTGTATCTTCCCCTGCAAAGTATTACTTATGTGTTTGCCACCGAGTATAATGTTATAGAAGAACGTAGAAAAATGTGGGCAAATGGGTGGAAGAAATTTTTTTAATGGTCCATAACCCAATAATGTTATTATTTCAATGTGTAATATTCACTAATCCATTTTGGACCTATTTATGGGAATGGTGACCTTCGGTCATCTAATGGACTCTGGTTGAACTCTTAGTTTTTTTTCTAGGTAATTAAAAATTTTATTTACCAAAACCGAGGAATATTTACAGCTCAAGGAGAAGAAGAAAAAAAGGCACTAGAACTGGACATGAACCCTAGTTCTTAGTATATCAGTAGACCTCTATTCACCCTCAACAGTCAACATCAATCACTACTCAAATCTTAACAAACTAGAAGGAGAAGTATTAAGCTTCTGGGGACACCCTGTTAGTTTAGGGATCAGACTAGCTCTGTAGTACACTTCCTGGATAACCATCTTTGCAATTGCTTCCTCTGATCTCATATTGCTTTGAAAGATCCTATTGTTTCTTTCCTGCCACAAGTAATACACAGCTGCTGCCAAGGTAGTTCTGTATATGAGTATATCCCAGCATCATCACCCCCCCCTGCCCCCCCCCTCTGCCTTTGCACACCTTTTCTGCCCATTGCAATTCATCTGTCCAGCGCATCTTGTGTCTGAAAATGCCGTGCCATTATAGTAGTTGTGTCCAAATCTTCCCTGTTACAACACATTCAAAGAACAAATGCTGAACAGTCTCATCTGCTGAATTACAAAGTGGAGATAGTAGACTTGTGTGAATGCCCTATTTAGCAATCCTGTCCCTAGTAGTCAACCTCCCATGTGCAGCCAGCCTGAGTATGAAGATCCACCTACGGGAACCATGGTGGTTACATACAATTTTTCTTCAAGTTACTTTCTGGAAGTCCCGTTGTATACTCTTATTTGTCTTCGTCTAGTTATTATGCAAGATTATAAAAATTTAGGGAGGGGTTTTTCTCTTGATCTTTTGCTCTCTAATGCAGGCTTTCTGAATGAGTTTTCACCTTTTTGGTTCTACTATCATCTAACTTGATTAACTGTTGAAACTAAGCAATTTAAATATTGATTTCCTCCTCTTGGCTCCAAATTTTGGAAGTGTACAATAATACATAGTCTTGTGCATTTATTTCTTTTAAGTTCTTTTTTAATTTGCAGTGGTTGGATAATTTCAACATTTTAAGTGATTTTTTTCTTAAAATAAATTACTCTATTTCACGAAAGTAACCTTCAAAATATTTGTGGTTAGTGGAAGAAAATACAATTTTATTTTAGCTTTTAGTAAATTCGGAGATAAACCGATAATTTTTGCTTGAGAATATCTGGAAACTCATTAAAATGCATACCATGTACTGTTGAGGAAAAAAAAAACAGATTTAGCAGCATATTATGTTTTGGGGACAGCTATTCCTTTAATATGTTGTTGAGTTAGAGCTCCTTGTTATCCATAAAGTAAGGGAAAAAAAGGCTTTCAATTTGCAGTAACATATTGGTTTTTGTCAATATGGCTCAAAGAATTGTCGCAAGTTGTGTTAGATTATCCATCTGTTTAAGTTATTTCATACTTCCAAGTTTGGCTCAGAAACGTAAAATACGGGATGGTATGTGCAATCGGCCGTGTTGGGGATTTTTCTTGTGCAGCCTTTTGTCAAGACCTTTTAGTTCATTGCTGCTGTCTTTTAATTCGTAATAAGAAAGGATTTCTCTAACATAGTACAATACCATATCCTCACTATATTGCTGAAAGGTAATATTGATGGGCATAATTGTAGATAAGAGTCAAAATAATCGAAAAGTTGTGGTGCGAATCTCTGCAACCTTGCGCATTTAAATACAATTGAAAATCCAACTCTTACCTGAATCCCGTGACTAGTCAAATCGGATCACTTTCAATGGGACGGAGTCAATGCTTTTCTTGTCACAGGGAAGTTCTCAATATCTTTCTCATAAAATGCTTATCTTTGAAACAGGAAGGAGCAACTAAGGAAGATGTTGAAAGACTGCCCAAATACAAGTTCCGGAGACTTGGTAACTTTGAGAAAGAGAATGGGGAGATTCAAGAATCATTTGGAGGAGTAATGGTTGAATGCGACACTGATACACCCACTGAGCATGTTCTTCCACCGGAAGATGCTGTATGTATTACAAAACACTTGCCTTTTCCTGGCCAAGAATTTTCCATTAGGCTTCTCAAACTCAGCTAGTCCTAGAAGTTACATATGTTCTTTACGTTTGCAGGAATGTTGCATTTGCATTTGTTCCTATGAAGATGGAGCTGAGCTGCGCGAGCTCCCTTGTCGTCACCATTTTCATGCAGCCTGCATAGACAAGTGGTTGTATATAAATGCCACCTGTCCTCTTTGCAAGTTCAATATACTCAAAAATGGAAATCAAAGTGGCAGTGAAGAAGCATAAGCAAGCCGACCACTTACGCATCCCTCAAAGTAAAGATCTTGGTGTATTTCTAGGTGTTGGATCTCTTCTTGGACCTGAAGTTCTTCTCCAGTTTCGAGTTTCAGGCAGCCCAGCACTTGCTTCTGCTCTCATAATGTTAATGTATAGGCTGTGAGTTTTCGTGTTCCATATATTATATCAGTAGAGGGGGCAGCAAATTTGCTTTTACCTTATGTTTGGTTTCTTCACAGATATGTCTCACAAGCATAAGTTATGTAATCAAGTCATGTTGATGTTTAATGCGACTCTGTTGTGTCAAAATCAAGGGAAGATAAAGATCCAGAAGTTACCTTAGCAAAGAAATAAACACACGACCAACATTACTTTTTTAAAAGTTGTCTTTCAGTTGGTGAAGTAGGAGTTTGCGAAGGTTAACGAGTATTTATTTGAACTGTTGAGGAATATAGTGATTGTATAGAGTAATGATGGCATGATTTGGGTGTAGTAGCTATTATTGTAATGATATCACTTTTTGAAAAGGCAATAGATCGTGTTTAATATATTTGACTTATGAATCAAGTCTTAGCACCAAAAGATTATGGTGGATGATAGGATTCCTCGGTCCTTTAACTAAACTATGTGGGAAAATGGATAGTTATTTCCAATTAGTGAATTCTAGACGGAAAGTTGATATCTTTGGCTGGGGAGCCCTAAGATCAGAGACCTATCTTCAAGATGTAAATTACAGGTACATAGCAAATATGTTTGGTTTTCAAGGACAAGTTATGTGTATATCAATGTAGAATTCTTGCAATCGACCCAAAAGTTAGATGATCGACTTATAGCCCGTTTGGCCAAGTTGCAAAAATCAGCTTATTTTGAGAAGTGATTTTTTTCAAAAGTACTTTTCTCAAAAGTACTTTTGGTGAGAAGCAGTTTGTGTTTGGCTAATTAATTTAAAAAGCACTTTTGAACAGCAATTAGTGTTTGGCCAAGCTTTAAAAAACTGCTTCTAAATGCATTTTTCTCAAAAGTGCTTCTCAAAAAAGTGCTTTTGGAGAGAAGCTACTTTTTTCTACTTCTCCAAAACTGCTTCTGCTTCTCCTCAAAATCACTTTTTTCCTTTCAAAAGCTTGGCCAAACACCTCAATTTAAAAAACACTTTTGGGAAAAAAGAAGCTTGGCCAAACAGGCTATTATTTGAACATCAGCAGAAGTGGGGCTTTTGCATCTATACCCGGTTTTGGGGTCACAATTGAACTTATACCCACTTTGCAAAAAAGTTTGCAAGCGTACCTACTTTACGAGCAACTTCAGACTTATCTGATCTGAAATTAAAAAAAAATTGATCTGAAGTGAAAAAATTGCACTTCAAATGACTTAAGGCCAAATAGGTCTGAGTGCAACCAATGGTTTCATGCACTTAAGTCTAATAAGTCTAAAGTGAAAAATTACACTTCAAATGCACTTAAGGCCAAATAGGTCTGAAGTGTAACCAATGATTTCATGCACTTAGGGCCAATAAGTCTGAAGTAAAAAATTGTCCTTCAAATGCATTTAAAACCAAAAGGTTTGAAGTGCAACAAATGTTTTGCTACACTCAAGGCCAATAAGTCTAACGTAAAAAATTGCACTTCAGATGCACTTAAGGCCAAAAGGTTTGAAGTGCAACCAATATTTTTATGCACTTAAGACCAAATAGGCCGAACGTGCAAAATAACTCGAAACAAAAATTTGTTTTTCGAATTATAACAATCCAACATACGATTTATCATTTCCAAACATATCATTTCCAAATGATACGACTTAAAGTATAAATGTTTACAACAAGTTTTTTATCCTCCTTTACTATTTATCTAAACTAATGGCTAAAAGTAATGTAGCAAAAGCCTGGAGTACAAATATAATCAGCCACGCTTTTGATTCCCCTGCATCATCTTCCAAGACTAAGACATCATCTTCTAAGGCTTATCCTGCGAAATCATTCAGATTAGTGAAAAAACAAAAAGATCAATATGGGGCTTACCAGTTGAAAAAGCGACCAGTGAACCCTAAAAGTAATGATCATAACTGAAATTTGATAAAAACAATACATATCAGAAAAGGTCCATCAGTCCAAAACATTAAAAATAACAACAACAACAACAACAACTCAGTAAAATTCCACAAGTGGGGTCTGGGGAGGGTAGTGTGTACGCAGACCTTACCTCTACCCCGAAGGGGTAGATGGCTGTTTCCGAAAGACCCTCGGCTCAAGATATAAAAAGACAAAAGGAAAGAATATTAAATTCACTACGGAGATCATAGGAAACATAGGAATATAAAATGCAAAGCAAAAACGATGGCTAATAAAAATAGTCAATGCAAAATCTTACGTTGTGTTTTCATGCCCTTCCATATTCTGAATGTTTAATCCCTTCAACTTTAAGAAAAGTTGATTATAGGAACACCCAAGCAAATGGGAAAACAACTTCATAACTTCTCGTAAAGCCTTATCAGCAAAACGATTGCCTTTGTAGTGTGCCTTGTAATTCCTTAAAAATCTTATGATTCCAAAGGCCCTCCTATACATTTTAGGTTCTATGTCCTCATACGTCAGGCAGCGATACATTTCATATATTCCTTTCTCTTCTATCCTTTTTTCCAACCAAAAAAGTCTGCTTTAAGGAAGCGATTACGCAGAAGCTTCTCGCTATTTGAATGTAGCAACTCATTAAATGCATAAAAAAAGACGCCAACTTTAACATGGTTCCAAAAGCAACTAGCCTGGTATATCCAGCTAGATATGTTTTCAACAAATTCCCTAAGACAGCCAAATAAATAATTACGTTTACGTCCTTAACAAAAAGCTAACAATAAATATGCCATAAAATTGAAATACCTAGGGTTAGCATATTGATATCTCTTGAATCTAAACAAGTCATGAAACAATGTATAGTCATTCTTGATGGCATTTCTAAAAGGACGATCCGGCCTATGCTTCCTATAGGCTAGAGAAACCAGTCTTCCGAAGACTTCAACATCATCAATTAACCCAACTAGTTTTCTGCATTGAATATTGAGAACAATTTTCATCAAAAACCTATCGTTATAGTCAAATTAAAGTAAAAAACATAATGATTACTAAAGCTACTCACTACTACCCTCATCGACTTTGAGTCGTTTTGCCTCACCGCCACTAATTTCATCAATAGGTTTATCGTCATACCGAAAATTACACACCCTAAGGCTACCCTCTCCGGCGCACTAATTTTCTCAATATCTTTGGCTTTAGACAGTAGCCGAAAATTGAACACCAGAGACGATAGCCTTAGGGTGTGCAATTTTCGGTATGACGATGAACCTATTGATGAAACTAGTGGCGGTGAGGCAAAACGACTCAAAGTCGATGAGTATAGTAGTGAGTAGCTTTAGTAATCATTATGTTTTTGACTTTAATTTGACTAAACTATAGGTTTTTGATGAAAATTGTTCTCAATATTCAATGCAGAAAAACTAGCTGGGTTAATTGATGATGTTGAAGATTTCGGAAGGCTGGTTTTTCTAGCCTATAGGAAGCATAGGTCGGATCGTCCTTTTAGAAATGCCATCAAGAATGACTATACCTTGTTTCATGACTTGTTTAGATTCAAGAGATATCAATATGCTAACCCTANTTTACGTATATTTCTAAAAAACATAAATCGAGGTATTTCGATTTAGTTTATGTCGAAACTCGAATTTATATTTGACCATCTCAGGGAATTCGTTAAAAACATATCTAGCTGGATATACCAGGCTAGTTGCTTTTTTGAACCATGTTAAATTGCACACCCAAAACCATACACTATCTTTGGCTTTAGACTCAAAGTCATACATATTCTTTCACATGGAGCACTAATAATCCATTAACTTAAACAAAGTGGTACACGTCATAACACTAAACACCGTTAATTTTTAACAGAAATCTAAAATTTATTTTCTTGCTTACCGAAAGAAAGATGACAAATTTATCTAGATAGTAAATAATTAATATACATAAAATCTATTTACTACTTATTTACTATACGTAAAATATACATTTACTAAGAAATTTTAAACACCATTAACTTTTTATTTGCAATGATTGTTATCTAAATAACCTCAAATGTTATCTAGATTTTATTAGATACATAAAATTTATTTTTTATTTTATGTGTATTTAATGGTGTTTAACGGTGTTTAAAATTAACTAGTAAATGTACATAAAATAAAAAAAATTAAATTTAACATTACTTAGTAAGTGTATATTTTACGTATAGTAAATAAATAATAAATAGAAAAATAGTAAATAAATTTTATATATATTTACTATTTACTATCTAGATAAATATGTCATCTTTCTTTTGGTAAGCAAGAAAATAAATGGAACAAATATTTTGTTAGAACTTAGATTTCTCTAAAAAATTAATGGTATTTAGTGTTATGACTAAAAGTGCACCACTTTGTTTAAGTTAATGGACTATTAGTAATTCATGTGAAAGAATATGTATGACTTTGAGTCTAAAGCCAAAGATACTGTATGGTTTTGGGCTTTGTCTCGCCATAACTCCCTCAATGGATACAGCAGACACCTTGGCATCCACAATGGTGTCGGCACCTCTATTCCTATTATCTCTCACCTTGACCAAATTACCATGGACGATCTTGAGGGCATTTATTGACACCTTTCCAAGCCCTATCTGACTGAACTCCGAAAATAAAAAGAGTCAAAAGAAATATAAAGAACAACAATCCATTTAGTATGTAGGTAAAAAAATTTAAAAAAAAACTTAACTGAAACGTTTCCTGGTGCTGCCAGTCCGAATCCGATAGTAGTCTCTTTTTTATCATCCTCCAACCATATCTTTTTTCTTTTGTCCTCCAACCAGGTATCGAATCTCCGAAGCGGCTTGGTGAACACAAGGCCGCCGCCGGTTTCTTCATCCACCGCAAAAATGTAACGAATGGCTACATTGGGCTTTCCATTAGCAAGGTGGAGATCCCTCATGTAGCTAGCCGCAAAGGGCTAATAGAGACATCGGTGACGACACCGTCGCACACCCAGCTTCTTTGGTAGACATTACCTTGAATATGGTCTCCAATGGTATACTGCTGCTGAAAAATTCCACTTGCCATATCCAAGTCTAGAGAAGCGGCGGAAAGGTGTTGTTAATGTCCAAGTCTAGAGAACGGCGGAAAGGTGCTGTTAATGAGTCTAGAGAAGCGACGGAAATGTGTTGTTAAACCACTAGGGTTGGGAAATGGGTAAATATAATTTACCCCTCAAATTTGAACCTTATCCTTGTCACACCTCCTTTTTACCCGAAAGGGAGATAAGAGAGTTTTTCCAATTAAAGAGATAATAACCGAAATGGAATTTTTATTAGATTCAGAGTCGCCACTTGGGATAATTATATGGTGTCCCAGGTCACTGGTTTATTTTAAATCCCAAATCGAGGAAAATTGACTCTGTTTTAAAGGTCTGCGAAACAAGAAGACCGGGTAAGGAATTCTGTTAACCCGGGAGAAGGTGTTAGGCATTTTCGGGTTCCGTGATTTTAGCACGGTCACTTTAATCATACCTGGCTTAATCAATTTATTTAATTACGTGTTTTAGAACCTATGTGCTCTTTTCGTTTTACCGCTTTTAATTAAGAAATTAACCTGAAACGAGTTACGCGTACGTATACTCATTTCGTTTGGCGCGTCAAGAATCATGTCACGCGTACGTGTCCACAATTAATCACACTTTATTATTATTAAGAAAGTTTGGCCGAAATTGCGCGAATGCATAACTCGATTTATTTTTAGAATCATAATTATGTCACGCAAACGTGTACACAATCACGATGATAGATTAAATCGCGCCTAAAGCAAGCTATGAATATTCATTTTAGAAAACCTTAATCATGTTTGGATATGAGTAGCAACTCAATAGAAACAGGAGAGACCTAAGTGATATAATTTTATATACAATGCCCAAATCGCCTGGATAATAACACTACAACTTTTAAAATACATTATTTTGTCGTAAGATAATAGAATAAAAGTAGTATAAATAGATGAAAATTTTAGTTTAAACATTCATAAATTAGAAGATACAAAGCCTAAATTACGTCAAGAAATTGAGAAGACTAACCTCAGGAGTATATATTAAGACAATAAAAAAAAAGGTAGTCGGATGTACAATATCATCACATATCCTTTCCAGCTATCATATATCTCCGAGCTAATTGGCAGTGATTCTGGATTGAAATTTGATTTCTAGAAGAATGGATAGGTCACTATCTTGAAAAACCTCAGTAGCTTTCATATGCATAAGTTTCATGCACAATGAATCAAACTACATGTATTCTCAGTACTTATGACTTATGCGTTCACATGTTTCAGGAAAGCATGACAGTAAACTCAACCAAGTTTACCATTAAAAACCTTAAAACCTCTGAAGCAAGCTTTACGTCTACTTCTCTATTTGGCCTGAAATGTTTTTTTCATTAGATGAGTAAAATCAGCGGATACAAGAATATGCTCGGATGAATTCGAATGAAAAACAACAGCAGTGGGAATTAAATCGAACCGCGGCAGACTCGAAGTAGATTCGACTCCTCAGCTAAACTCCATAGCTTAAAACAGAAATTGATTGAAGAAACCGATATCTTTTCCTCACTGTTCTGTCCGAAAACCCCTATCCAGAAAGCCCCCTCCCTTCCTATCTACGTGAGTGTGTGTGATGAGAGGTGGTGGCTGAATTTGGTGGTCGTGTGGCTGGAATTGGAGGAGTATCGCTTGGTGTGGGTGTGTGGCTGTGTTTTCCGGCGGGCTGTTGTGAATTGGAAGAAGCAGAAGCGGATGGAGATCGGGTTGATGGTCCCTAGTTTTTGTGAAGGGAGGCGTTTTTGCTCTTACACTCTGTTTGGATTATTGTTCCCTATCGTTTTATAATGTATTGTATTGTATCGTATCGTATTGTACCGTATCGTTTTATGAATACAATGTTTGGATAGATTGTATTGTTTGTTATTGTTAAATAATATTTTATTGTTTGGTTTGACTGTATGTACTGTACTGTAACTGATAAGTTTACTAAAATACCCTCAATTGTTTAAATATTAAATTTATCAAAATTATGTATAAAAATAATTTTAAAAAACAAAACAGAAGAAGGCAAAACACAATAAGGAAGCAAAACAAAGGAGCGAGATAGAAAAAGGCAAAACAAAGGAGCACAACTAATTAGAATTGAGTTACATGCAAATTAGGAGAAAAAATAAAACAGGAGGCAACAAAACACCTTTAATATTGGTCTGGAAAAAAACAAAGTAGGTTATAAGTTGGAGATTTGGAGTTAAAATATAAAAAAGATAAAGGGTGAAATAGAATTATGGAGTAATAAGTTAGGGCATAATTGGAAAGAAAAATAGGAAACAATCCCACCACACCAAATCGGTTGTTTAAAAAAAGGGGACTTTTCATTGTTCAGGAACAATGGATTTAACAATACAATACACTCAATTTTAATGAAACAATCAAAACAAACATTGTTTTGGGATAACAATACAATACAATACAACGAGGAACAACCATCCAAACAAGCTGTTAGGGTCTCTTTTGGGTCTTGTGCGGCTGCTCAGAATTCAAAAGAGGAGAGGGAAGATCTTCCATTAGGTCTAGGGGTCTTTTAGGTCTTATGAGGTTATGGGATGAGGGAATGGGTTTGTGCTTAAAATAGTAAAAATTGCACGGGGCGCCCCCATTTAACCTATACCCATTTTTTTAAAAACTTTTAACTTGTACCCACTTTTTCAATAACTTCATCTCATTTCTCTTCCTCCTTGTCCTCCTTCATTTTCTTCTTCTCATCTCCTCCTCCTTCTTATAGATAGATAGATAGGGTAACAAGGACAATAACGCCAAAGCCACCCACTACTGATAATACGAGCATCTTCACAGTTTGAATCTGCATTAATTAAATTTTGAGAAACAACCAAAGGAGTTTATAGTGATGATAAGGGTCGTGTTTGTCTTGAGAAATGCATAATAAATCCAAAGCATGGAACTAAAGAGAGCAACCACATATCGAATAGATTGATACCCTTCTGTTGATTTCTTCTTGTAAATTTTATAAAACGTGGGCCTGCAGGTGTGAAGTTATAGTGTTAGTCAGATTATAATTAGCCGATAAAAACAAATAGCATAACATATAAAAAAGTATAAGCAAATGGAGACTCACAGTGGAGAAAGGAACACAATGAAAGGAACACAATGAACACCAAAAGCAAAAGCCCAGTGATACCTGAACNATAAACAAAAAAACTTCAAGCTCTAGAGACTGAAGTTCCCCAGTTATAAACAAAACTTCAGCTCTAGAGACTGAAGTTCTCCAGTTAAAAATAAAACTACAGCTCTAGAGCTGAAGTTGACCAGTTACAAACAAAAAAACTTGAGCTCTAGAGATGAAGTTCGACAGTTACAAATAAAAACTTCAGCTCTAGAGCAGAAGTTCCCAGTTACAAACAAAACTTCAGCTCTAGAGCTTGAAGTTCGCTAGTTTACAAAGACAAAAACTTCAGCTCTAGAGCTGAAGTTCCCCAGTTACAAAAATAAAAACTTCAGCTCTAGAGCTGAATTTCAGGCCCGGCTACTAAAATG